TAAAGCAAGAAAAACGATGCAAATAAAGTGAGAAAAATGAAAACCAAAGACGTCCGTCTGTTTAATGTTGATCGTAAGATGAAAATATCCCGTGAACACGAGAAGCCCATCTGCTCCATCACTCGCGTCTTCACGTGACTGGAGGTCAAAGGTCATCTGTTGGTCCTCCGGCTGTTTGCTGAGCCGAGCTTCTGAAGGTGCTTGAATCCAGCTTTAATGAGCTGATGGCGTGAGTTTCCTCCTCCACATCTTCACTCAGACCATTCACTGATTCGCTTTTAATTGTTGTCTTAACGCTCCTGCAAACAATAGCCAACGAGGACCAAAGCACAAGGGAGAGTCTGCAGAAACAGGGCGACCGCGGCGTCGAAAACATCATTAAAATCTGAGGCGTCCCAGAGCTGGTCTGCTTTCTCACAGTTCAGCTCTCTCCATGAAGATGAAGCTTGTTAGCGCAGAATGAACATGTTTCTTCCGTGAGTCCAGCTCAGAACTCAAGAGACACTCTTGATTCACTAACAAACGACTCTTTTGAGTCTGTAGTTTTCAGTTAATCAAAAGAACCATTTCAACTGAATCCATGAGGAGTTGCTTGGATGTGAAGCGGTGAATCCTTCACAATCACTCCAGGAAGATGAATGAAGAGAGTAATTTTGATTTCATGTTTGATTTCAAGTCTGAACACAGTCTCTCTGCAGTCAGTGACTCTGAACTATCAGACGAGAGCTGATGGAGAACCATCACTAGAAGTTCTTCACTGGACGAGCTGGACTCAAACTGGGCCACACGGATAGTTCCCATAAAATGAAAATGTAGTCATTATTTACTCTCTCCAGTCTGCTGTTGTATTTTTCAAAGCATGAATGTGGTCACCATTCACTGCCATTATATGAATGTGCATGAGCAGGACATTCCTTAAAACTTCTCCATTTGTGTTCAAAAAAGAAGGAGAGAAGGTCAGATGTGTTCGGTGAGTAAATAATGACAGAACTTTCACATTCGGGTCAACTAGCACTGTAAAGTCTAACTGCATTTTGTCATGAAATGCTGCATTTGGTGTCTCGTCATTCCTTCAGTGCTTTATTTAAAGTAGTCAGACTGCAATCAGACTAAAGAGCACAATCAGAATTACAATCGGAATAAAGGCGCAGCCGCATTACTCTGGATCAGTGGAGATTTCTCAGCAGAATTATGGGTAATGTAGTTTTCACCAGCAATTCTGCTCTTAAACTTTATATAAATAATGCGTTGAAATAACGCAGCTTTATGACAAAAGCATATAGCATCGATTAAGGTTTATAAGTTATCATTAAAAATCAGTTCCCCAATGGAGAAAATGAATGGGGTTTTTACTTCCAGAACCGACTCAATGAGAGGATCATCCTACATTCAGACAGAAACACAGTATGGCTTCGCTCTAATTGACTTGAGAAAGATTACAGAGATGCCCAGATGCTCACTAGTAAGTGACCTACAGCACAGAAGCGTCATTCTGAGATTAATGGAGCGTATCTGCAGTGAACGGCCCACCCAGGAGCATCTGCGCGGGCCGTTCATCAGCCGTGAGTGAGTGTCAGTGCTCGAGACAGCTCCCACAAACACAGACCGACCCGCATCGACAACTGAATGAAGTTATGATCACCAATACAGCACAGTTTCCCAGCGCAAACATCTAAACATTCCTAAATCATTGACAGGAGATTCAAAATGACAAAAGATGAAAAAATTCACCAAGAGAAACTCATCAAAATAAAGCAAGGTTATGATTAAAATAAGAACAAATATCACAGTGAGTGTGTGTGTGTGTGTTTGTGTGTGTGTGTGTGTGTGTGTGGTGTGTGTGTGTGTGTGTGTGAGAGTGTGTGTGTGTGAGAGAGTGTGTGTGTGTGTGTGTTGTGTGTGTGTGTGTGTGTGAGAGTGTGTGTGTGTGTGTGTGTGTGTGTGTGTCTGTCTGGTCTGTCTGGTGTGCATGAATATTGCAGTGTGTGTGTTCAGCTGAGATTCACTGGATGATGACAAGAGTTTCTTGACAAGATAATCTTTCTTAACACAATGAGGTTGTTGAGGAGGTCAACGGTTTTTAGTGAAGTCTGTACTCTCTGC